AAATTATTATTTATTTACTTATTTTCATTATCCATTTTATGTGTGCGTGTATTATGCCTGGATATATGTAAGTGCACTGGTGTCATGCAGGGCTCCTGGAGGACAGAAGAGGGCATCAAATCCCCTGGAACTGTAATTATGGATGGCTGAAACCATGTGGCTGGAATCATGTGGCTGCTGGGATTCGAACCTGGGTCTTGTGCAAGAACATACAGTGTGCCTAACTGCTAAGCTAGTTCTCCAACCTCTGTTCTAAATTTAGTACATTGACTCTGGCTGGTGTCATGCAGGGCTCCTGGAGGACAGAAGAGGGCATCAAATCCCCTGGAACTGTAATTATGGATGGCTGAAACCATGTGGCTGGAATCATGTGGCTGCTGGGATTCGAACCTGGGTCTTGTGCAAGAACATACAGTGTGCCTAACTGCTAAGCTAGTTCTCCAACCTCTGTTCTAAATTTAGTACATTGACTCTGGCCCACACAATAGACCTTGGCAGAGAAGAAATTTTTATTTTGAACTACTTCATTTTTTTAAAAAATTAGCATACAGATTCACCCTTCCATCCCTCCCGCCGTTCTATACTCCTAGTTTGTGACCTGTGCCATTCCTAGTCTTGGGGCCCCAGACACCTGGGGAACCAATACTGCTTCCTGATCCTTCTCACCCAGACCAACTCAGTCCCTTTCTTGGGCCCCAGGAGCACCGCTTCTGGTCCTGGCCCCGCCCTCACCTCTCTCTGCTTCCCTGGGCCTGCACCACCGGCTAACTCTCCTAGCCTACAATACTATCCTCAGACTTCTTGGGGTAAGTCTATAGCGCAGCCCTCCGCACCGGGACTCCGTAAGCCACATTCACCCTTCCATCACCCCCACCGTTCTATACTCCTAGTTTGGGCCCTGCGCCATTCCTAGTCTTGGGACCCCAGATACCTGGGGAACCAATACTGCTTCCTGACCCTTCTCACCCAGACCAACTCAGTGCCTTTCTTGGGCCCCAGGAGCACCGCTTCTGGTCCTGGCCCCACCCTCAACTCCCTCTACTTCCCTGGTCCTGCAAC